CTGGAAAACAATTCCTGAAAATATTGGGAAAGGTTTGTACATATTAACAGAATGGTAATGTTTTTCCTTTCCACAATCATCCCTAACCTAATCTCAACGTGTGCATTCTTCTGTAGCATCTCAGGAACAGGGAAATATCAGGTCTCCAAACTTTTATAAGCACGAAGCTCCGCAATGAACTTAAGTGTGGCACGTTTAATCAGCGACTCCGACGACTGACGCCAGCGGAAAGGATGTACATCAAGTAAGCCATCGGGCAACGAGCCCAATTGAGTCTATGCTACTTTTTCTCATTTCTCTTCATTGGCCTCACCTGTTGTTCTTTTCCAGAGGAAGTTACATGCTTGGTGTCACAGAGTTCGAAATGCCCCCTCATGATCCATCATTGGCCGAAGCAGGGAGCTCAGAAGAAGATGTTCCGTCAATTCCCGAGGAGACCAAAGGTTCTGGAGCCTTTTCTAAACCATGCCAAGTACCCTATCAAGCCCTGAGCATCAGCAAGAAAAAGGTGTCTTGTTCAGAGTCACCATTAGACGGACAGTCGGGGTCTTCATTCACCCCTCTCAAGACATCCACTCCTACCCTCAATGATGATAAAATTTCGAAGTTCCTGACTAAGCCATGTGCAATCAGGGTGCAGGTGGAAGACATTTTAAAGAACGAAAATATGCTACAGAAGATGGTGAAGGATATATGTGAGGGGTTCTTCTCAGAAAAAAAAGAAGAAATGGCTCAATGTTCTTCCTCTGCAAAAGTTACTTCTGCTCAACATGACCAGTCAGATTCTGGGATCGAAAAGTCTGATGTTGTGCCACCTGATACTGCCACTCTGTATGAAGAATCATTATCTGATTCAGTCCTTGGCCACATATCAGATATGGTAGAAAATTCAGCAACTGGATCACTCACCGACGCAAAGGAGTCAACCCAGGCCAACGAAAGGGACACTGAAACAGAGGCACGTGGAGACTCCTCCGATGAAGAGGGAGTCCTGGATGCAAGGGTCTCCACTATAACTTTGATTGAAGTTTTCCGAAAGCACAGCGCCAAGAAGAAAGGTCTGAACTTTAAAGCCTTTCCCACGAAGAAAGGTTACAAGCTAGCTGCAAAAGGTCTTCAAAACTGGTCATTGACTGCAGCTGCAGGTGCACCTGCTCCTGATGACACTGTCGTAACACATCTGCTCTCTGAAGTTTCCAAGTTCGACATTTGCAATGAAGCAGAAAAAACAGCTATATCTGTAGACCAACTTAAAGTGACAGAAGGTAAGAAGCTTGCTACAAGACTTGGTCAACTGACACTGTCCTGTGACAAAAAAATTCCAGCCCTTCTCGTAGTTAGGGATGATGGAGACTTCTCCTAGTTTTGATATCTACATGATCATTTTAATGAAGATTTTAAAACCTTTTTACAATATTTTTCAATTGTGTTTTATCTTATGATTCATGTTTATGCATGCTATTAACATTTAATCTGTACTTCTCATTACATTTATAATACAATTTTCTTTCTAAACTACTCTTGTAGACCCTTTTTGACGTATTACCTTATCCTACTAGAATAATTTGATGGTACTACTTTAAAAACCTGTCTGGTGTCTTATATGGCATTTTGAAATGCAAAACTCTTATAGAAACCAGTCTAATGTAGAATGTAGAAATTTCTACATTGGTCTGTATTTTCCAAAGTACTGTCCCACAGGAGTAAATCTTACTCCCAGAGATTCAGAAAAAAATCCTCTTTAATTTACAATCCATTCATTTTTCTGCCTGAGGAAGGCTTTTGCCAAGAACCTTCAACTCTGAATCTGCAAGCAATGTAGAAATTTCTACATTGGTCTGTATTTTCCAAAGTATCTGTCCCACAGGAGTAAATCTTACAGCTAGAGAATTAGAAAAAATCCTCTTTCATTTGCATTCTATTCCTTCCTCTGCCTAGGGGAAGGCTTTTGCCAAGGGAGGCAAACCAGAAATGAAAAGTTGTACTGTTTGAAAATAATAAGACTTAGATAGCTGTTTATGTATTCATTGTTTTTCAAATCCACATTACACCAACAGTTGTCTGACTGAAAAAATAGAATGCAGAAAGAAATGAATGTGCACATCACTATCCCACCAGATTTGCCCTGCATGGCAGTGGGAATGCCATGCAAACAAAACATTTCACATTCTTGATGAAATCATTTTGAGAAGACCAGGGAAATGATTTGGAAAGAGCCTAAACAGCTCTCATTCGATGGCTTCACCAGATTCTTTGCAATTTCCGGGCGAGAAAGAGTCTCTTACCTTCCATAAAGCCCCAGATTTTCCCACTTTAAAATCTCATTTACAAAGGAGCAATTTAGAGTGACCCCTGTGTGGCTTCGGAAGGGGGGCCAATTTTGGGCTTTCCTTTCCAGGGCACGTAATGGACTCCAGGGGTGTTAAAGTGTCCCCTGTGTGGCTTGGGAAGGGGAGGCCACTTTTGGGACTTCCTTCCCAGAGCATGAAATGGACTGCAGGAATGTTATGTTGGCCACTGGTTGGCTTGGGAAGGGGAGGCCAATTTTGGGCCTTCCTTTCCAGAACACTTCATGGACTCCAGGGGTGTTGAAGTGTCCCCTGTGTGGCTTGGGAAGGGGAGGCCAGTTTTGGGCTTTCCTTTCCAGGGCAAGTTATGAACTCCAGGGGTGTTTTAGTGTCCCCTGGGTGGCTTGGGAAAGGGAGGCCAATTTTGGGCTTTCCTTTCCAGGGCACGTAATGGACTCCAGGGGTGTAAAATGCTCTGGGGGTCACAAATTTGATTCCACACCATCAGGTCCCACTTTCACAGCAAGAGCTATGAGAGAAACCTTTTTTTGGATTTCTCTGCACATTTTGGCTCCCAGGAGACAAAAATGCATTTATTTCTCACATCAGTGAATTTTCCTGTCATCAGCAGTCATTGCTTGAGTGACTTCAGCCAACAGAACATTCTATTTTTTAATTTTTTTCCAAGCTTTACCGGATATGTGAAAGTCAATATATCTTGTCAAATGTAAGACGGAGCCCCAAATACTTTTGATTGTAGTTCGTGTAAACTTCGAGGGAGTCAAGTACTACATAGGTATGACAAAGGTTTCTATGTTTTTTTACAGGCAGACCTATGAAAGAATCCACATTATGACTTCCTCGGCACACTTTGGCTATCAGTTTGGTTATCAATTGTTTTAAATTAAATGCTCATAATACTATTAGCTGTTTTGTTTCTATCTGATCATGTTCTTGTCATTCATTGTCCAAGTTCATGAAATCTGCTTGATATATAGGGTCCTCCTATCTTCATATTCTTGGGAAAATCAGTTTGTGGAAGTACATTTTGTTAATGCTCTCAAAATTCTATTGTTGACTCTGTTTTGTTGAATCCAAATTTTAAACAACCACATTGTGTTCTAGTTTTCAAATCATTAATTACATTTGAGGTAGAACAAACAGCCACAAATAAATCGGTCCCTTTATGACTTTTATTCAGGCCATTTCAAGCAGGTTGGAAGGCTGAATTTCCATTGATTGGAACATTAAAATGCTACTGAATAATTTATAGGCCAAGAAATAAGACATTTCAGTGAAATCTAACAAATAGAAAATTTGAGCCCTTTCATTTCTAAAAGACTATGCCACATACAAAATTTTCAGAGGCACCACTGGATTCAGCATGAAAATCCCTTAAAAATGAGCTAAAGAACACAAATCTACAGCAACTATGAAGGAATTTCAAGTACCATCCACATCTTTCATTTTTACTGGACATTTTCAACCTATATTGTGACCTAGCAGCTGATATGCATCCTTATGCACCATTCTTGTCCTAAAACGTTCGGACCATCACCCTGCTGCTATTCCTGACTGATTGGAACATTAAAATGCTACAGAAAAAATTATGGGCCAAGGAATGAGACGTTTTAGTGAAATCAAACAAATAGAAGATTTGAACCCTTTGTATTCTAAAAGACTATGCCTCATATAAAATTTTCATAGGCACCACTAGATTCACCATTAAAACTCCTTAAAAAGGACCTATAGAATGCTAATTTTCCCCTCAGATAGTTCATAGTTCTTTGTGTTAAAAATGGTGATGGAAAATAAGAAAAAAGCATCGTATAAGCTTCTTACTCTGTACAGAACTAAGTTAGTGTTATAATTAGTAGGATTCTAAGTTTCAGCCCTGCGTCTAATTTGTAAGGCTCAGAACTAATTTATTTCTACGGTGTGAAAGCTGAAAAGGAAAAATCTCCAAAAAGATTTTAAAACTTGGTGATTATACACTCTATTTGCAGTTGATTGAGGGAAAAATATATTGTCCATCTGTAAGCTATATTTATTTGCTTTTACAAATTAGCAGGTCATTACTGTACATCCATTAACAACCCTCTTATACCAAATGTGAGCTCCATTCAACATTTCTAGTCAAGTCAATAGCAGACCAACCTGACAAGGTTAGGGGGTCACACTGTTTGTAACGAAATAAAGTAATCTCAGACGGGCAGCAATGCACTATTCATCTTAAACGAATCTTCCTACTAAAACGCGCACCATAAGATGTTTAACCCTATAATTCTTAACACCGGTACAAAAATGTTCACAAAAGTTAGGAAAAGTGTCTGGAGCACATATTTCAACTAAACATAACATAATCTCCGTGGCCGAATGGTATCGTGCAAATGGTCCACTGAGACGTGTAAACATGATAATTAATGCCTGGTGAAGTGTTTCACCTGATATAACATTTAGTTTTCTTAATTCTGAAACAAATATGACATATGGTTTAGACGGCAGCTGGAATGTTTACTCCCATGAGGTGCAGCAGACATTTCTGCTTGGGGTAAGGTATGACAACAGTACTGATAACTCAAGCTATGACAAATTCGTCTGTGTCTTTGTTGTCAGGGTAAATAAATAACATATACAGTTGCTATTTTCGTTGCTACTTCCTATTCTACAGTAATATTAATATCATTCCACAGATTTTGTGATCACCAAACAATGGAGGTATGGCTTATAATAACCCTTATCGCGTATATTCTTTCTTTAAGATTGTCATAATGTAACCTCACAAACAGCATCTATCCTGAAATTTTCTAATTTTAGCCAACTGTCATTCTTGAGAAAATGGCAGAAGCCAAAGAAATTCCGTCTGAAAATGTGACTGCTATCCGTCCAAGCAAAAGGAGGAAGAATAGGCGTTCCCTCTTCAGTTATACCAGGACCAAACATAATGTGTCTGTGCGTATCCAATCTACGCTTTAGAAGTACTGCCTTTCATTTAATTTTTTCTTTAAATGGCGAGAATCATGCCTTTGTGTTTTAACAAGTACCAAACTATTACAGGTTTCTAAATCATATGAACCAGCAACCTCTGAACATTTCGCTGGTTTCTCAAACAACACTGTCCTAGGTACAATAAATGGGAGAACAACACCACCTTCAGATTTCTGTGGATTTTCTGATGATGAGATATCCTTGTCAATGATACGGAAAACTCTCCACCCTCTCTACGGTCACTGCGAGGATATGGTAAGCACTGCATGCCTAGGATAAAATTGTTTAAAGAGGCATTTTTACCTCTCTATCTTATTTCTCTTGCTTTTAGTTTGATGAGTGTGGTCAGACAGTATGCACCATTGGTAGCAAGTACCCTCACGAGCACATAATGAAGGTGAGTCCCTTATATTTTTTAAGAAAATTTCTAAAATTGGTATGAAAGTACTTTGCACAATGCATCTTTCTACAATAACATTGTTCCAAAACTCAACTGTTATCGTTGTAAATGAGCAGGCAGCCCCTTTATATCTTGCGACACATATTTTTCCACGACATAAGCCAATATACAGTTCTCTTCAACTATCAAGGTCTCACTCCTGGTTCCTATTAAATAAGAATGAGCATTAAATTCTCTATGTGGAGAGCACTTTAGCCTTACTTAAAGTCCAGAATAATTTTCTATGACACCCTGTAGATTAAGTTTAATACAATTAATTTTCTTATGACATCTGTCCTGTGTGTTACAAACCAAACTTATTGGCCAAAGTTTGAATAATCTAATCCTCAAACTATCAGGGCAACAACAAGCTTCCCTTCATAAAAAGCTTTTCTGGTTTATTTTTTGCATTTTCTCTTCCTCTTCTCACTCTCTCTGAATAGGAGACATTTCATCAAACTCCTGATGTAACTTATTATCATTCAACAGGTACATATGATCAAAAATGAAAGGAAAGTCCGTGTCCTATCTCTTTTCGATGGCGTTGGAAGCGGGCTGCTGGTTTTAAAGCACCATTTGAACCTCGATGTAGATGTTTACTATTCTGCTGAAATTTGTGAGAACGCTCTGATGGTGCAAAGCAATAAATTTTCTGGCGAAATTGTGATGTTAGGTGATGTGAGGGGATTGAAAGGTGATCTACTGGATGTGCTGGGAAGAGTTGATTTGCTGATTGGAGGTAAGCATTAGTGCAGCGTTCTCAACAAACAAAATATAGAATCGTAATTAATGAAGCCAAATCTTCTACTTTTATTTCTATGTAATAACTGCACTATCAAAATCTCTTAACTCTTCTATTTCAGGGCCACCATGTAGCCAGGTGTCATCTGTGAATGCAAATAAAAAAGGGCTCTCTGGTAAATGTGTAACACTGTAACAAGTTAATCGTACTAAAATAAGCAATTAATCCTGTCATCATTATTCAATCCTATGTAGATCCCACATCTGAATCATGTCTCTACAAGGAGTTCATCCGAATAAGGGACATCATGATCCAAAAGGCAGCTGAGCATGGACATCTCTTCCTATGGATGATGGAGATGACAGCTCATATGGAACTTAAGGACTGGGAAACCATGACTCGGTATGGTATACAACACACCTCCAGCTATCAAACTGAATAAAAAGGCAATACTTTAGTTTGATTTACATAATTATCCACCTTTTTGTGCAGTGATGTGGGGCAGAAACCTCTCAAGACAGATGCAGGATGGTATCTGCCAGTGAATAGGGAAAGACTGTTCTGGACCAATGTTCCCCAGATAGAGGAGCAGGAGAGTAGAACAAGTCCCATTAAAATTGATGAACTGCTGTGCCCGGGCCGTAAGGCGAACTACTCCA